GCATACACTCACACACATACACATACATACTTCTAGGTTGAAATTTAACATGAAATGACCAAAAGTACTTTAGACTTCATCAAAGAGCTCAGATATTGAGAATATGTATACAGCATTTAGCGATGAGTCGGTGAGTTCTCTTGACTCGTCAGTTTGCATATGCTTGTAGGGATGATACTATCTGTTCTGATGAAGTCGTTCATACGACGGATGAAAGCTTAACGCGATTTCGCCGGGATCGAGGACGATAACCTCAACATCAGTGTCAACAAGAATCTTCCTGTAAAGCCAATCGAGAGCTGGTCAAGGGGAATCCGCTGGGGGTCGTCTTCTAATGGAATCGACCTTCGAATCTCTTCATCACATACTTTTACTCGAAAGGGATATGAAACTGTGAAACAAGAGACTTGTCGAAATCCAACTTGTATTCGCGTAAGCTTAGAAGAGCTTCCATGAAGCAAGACTGAATTCAATAGTTTCCTAAGGTTTAATCATATGATTGTTAAAAAATCCAATCCTTTTCATCCTTTTGGACATATGGCAACTCGACCTCTTATTCAACATCTACTGACAGTCTCGTAACCAAACCTCAGTTTATTTTCATGCCAATTTACACAGTTGCATGTCTATGTTTGTGTATGTATGTATGTGTGCTTTTGTAGTCCAGGGTACTAAAGCACCAGTGTTATCTCGTAATAATTAGAACATAACATAACATTACTCCATAGTTATCAAGACTTGACAACATATGGAAAGGTGATTTTATGTCGCCAGTGCATCATTTGCACTTCGACACGAAACGAAAGTCAGCGCACCAACAACTCCTTTCAAGACTTTAAGAGTGTACAGATAAAGTGATTGGAAGACCTTATTTATTGTCCAGAAAGGTTGTCTTCAACTTGCATAATCCGAGCCCTAGGCCAGCGTCGTCCATGCCTGTTTCAAAAATCGACGCCACCGGAGTTCGAACCCAGAACGCTGGTTTCCATGCGATTCGTCCTGAAGGCTCCTCACCTCGAGTCCGAGCATCATGAGCATCTTCTTCTCCAGCTGTTGACGATCGAGCCTACAACGAGTCGTCCAAAGGGATCCTGTGAGCCGTCCTTCTGACCGGCTGGCAACAAGTAAACCGACGAGTTCTTTACTCGAACTCGGAACTTTATGGTCTCTGACCAGGACACCTGAACCTGTCGGGTCGGGAATCAATTCAAGCAGCTTTGAAGGCTCTTTAATAAAAATCTGGTAATCACGACTTCTTACAAACAAGAGACGCAAACCTAATGCAGATTTAAAGTGAAAACTGCAAGCGCACCGTCGAAATTGTGAGGATAGACTAAAGGAATGCCAAAACGAAATAAAATAATGCAATCTCAATGTCTTGCCATCGAGCTCAGGCTGGTACCAAATTGAAATTAATAAATTAACCAAAGGGAATGCAATTAAAATTTCTACAAAGTACTCAAAGAAACCTTGATCCTATTGCCTGATGACATTCTATAAACCCTCACTAACCCATTTAATAAATCATAATCAGAATCTCTAAATGTGACTGAAATTCAATTGGAAAGCAATAATTACCAATTATTTCGGACTAGATGCTTTTGGAGACTTTTGCTACCGAGCAAAAGGGATAATACAACGCGACGCCGAGATAGTACAGTTAAGGCCTTATAAGCCCAAAAGGTTGTCGTCACAAATGCACTTAGCGTCAACATACTACTCAATTGACGAGACTACTATTGCTTTCCGTGCCTGGAGCTTCTAATTGGGCACTTTTCCATACAAATGTTCTCCTCAATATTCCGGCAAAACAGAACAGGAAGGCATTCGGCCTGAGTTGCTTGCAATGAGTTGAGCACCGAAAATGGAATCTTTCGATTCTCCACAGAAGTTTTCCATTTCACAATTGACCCCAGGCTTGACCTCACCGAGCCTTCATTATGGACATACAGCCTCTGATGCCACCGGGAGGCGAGCCAGTCCTCTCCCAAATCACACTTTCTTGTCGGATTGCAGATGAAACCGACGTGTATTCATGCTTACACTCGACGACGACAATTATTCTCGGAGCGAGAACGCCTCGAGACTATTATTAATTCTTAAGAAGCGACGTAAAGAAGAGAAGTGGAAGTATTCACAAAGTTGCATACAATAATTTTACCTGCAAAATGAAACTGGATTATTTTCACTGCTATTATCTCTACTTTTCTTAATTACTAGTCTCCTCGAACGGATGCTCACAGAGATAGTCTACCACCGAATATCGTTGTGCTGGTCTCGTGCAGAATCGGTTTGATACAATTTTTCTATGAAATAGCTCTTCTTCGGCAGTTGCTTTCTGACTTTCGTTTATTTTCGAAGAAAATGTCACGGTTAATTTGTCAATTAGTTTGTAATTGCATGCCATTATCTGCGACCCGAAAATAATTTTCCACCGCCAACATGTAAGTGGGTACGCATGTGTGTTTATTTGTATATTGTCATTGTGTACTCAACGAACTCGGACGAGCTCATCTGCTTTGGCCGAACAATAGGCGATAGCCTTACTTTGCACCAATACACAATAACACAATGTCTACAAAAGCAGTGTCTTTCACTCATTTCAGTTCAATGTTCACTCAATCAACCGTCAAGCGACAACACTTGAGCTGACTTTGAGCTTCGCTGTAGTTCCTGTTGGCTCTTCAGGTGCTGTTTTAGCACTCAGAATTGCCGGAAAACTCGGATCGGTTGGCGAACGAAGATAATTTTGTCCAACTCTCGGATGGACAGCTCCGATGGGCGAAAAAGAACGAGCATACGAAGACCAAGATGGTGTGACATTCGGAATGGTCGCAGACTTTTTTCGATGTATAGAAGTGGGTCGACCTTGTTTTTGCAACTTGGTCTTGTTGTCATGGCGATTTAGTTGGACGCAGCTTATTCGAAGTTCTCTGCCATAATAGGTAGCATAATTCCCAGCGTTGGACTGTGGAATTGATACATTTTCAGACTTTTCTCCG